GCCTCACCTCGTCCTGAAGCCAGGCGAAGGCGGGGAGGCGGCAGGAGAAGCGGCTTTAGGACCGCGCTACCTGCCACCTCCCCGGGCCGAGCCTGCCTTCTCCTGCCTTCAGGATGAGGCGAGGCCCTGTGCTGAAGCCAGGAGATGGCAAGGGAGGCAGCASMAGAAGCGGCTTTAGGACCATGCCGCCTGCTGCCTCCCCGGGCTGAGCCTGCCTTCTCCTGGCTTCAGGACGGGGKCTCGCCTCGTCCTGAAGGCAGGAGAAGGTGGGGGAAGGGGCTGSCAAAGCGGCTTTGGGCCTGTGCTGCCTGCCGCCTCCCCGGGCCGAGCCTGCCCCATGGGTGGCAGAGGGCATCGCGTAAGTGGCGGAAGGCCGCCCCGCAAAAGGTGGAGGGTGCCCCACGAGCAACGGAGGGCGCAGCGGAGGAGGAGAAGGCTGCAGAGGAGGCTGTGGAGGCGAAAGCAAGGCCTCCAGCCTCCGCTGCCACCACTGCTTTTACCGCAATTCCTCCTTCTTGGGCCCACTCCATGGTGCCAATTCCTTAACTCGAATATAAGCCGAGAGGGGCTTTTTCAGCCCCCGAAAAGGGCTGGAAAACTCGGCTTATATTCAAGTATATACGGTATGCTGATCCTGTAATACTTGGGCCACAGCGTTTCAACTATTTTTTCCTGTTTGAAGTAGCTATAAGTTTTATAATCACTATAAAATCAAAACTTTTAATGTTAGTGTGGTAAATAGTAAGAAGTGCTTTTTGGTGACAAGGTCATAGCATAACCGTGGACTCATTAAGAAATAAGTCCCACTGGGGTTTTTCAGGGTTTACTCAAGAAGATGTGTATGTGTGTGTGTATGTATAGATAAATAGATAGATAGAAAGATAGACAGACAGACAGACACGGGAATAAGTCCAATTGAACCCAATGGTACAAACTTCTGATTTGCCCTTCAGGGGATTGTATTGCAAGGCACTTCAATCACTGCTATGGAAACTAATAGAGCTTTAACAGTATGGATCAGCATTTGTTCCCAGTTTACCTCTTGCTTACCTGAAAAACTATGGCTCCTTCCGCTCAGCTGAATAAAATCCCACCTTTTCTGCTTTGAACTGGAAGATATGGCAGTGTGGACCCAGATACCCAGTTCAAAGCAAATATTGTGGGATTTTCTGCCTTGATATTCTAGGTTATGTGGCTGTGTGGAAGGGCCCTATGTTTCTGACTTTCTGTTTTGCAAGAAAGTAGTAGACCTAATTTTCTAGTAAAAGTAAATGTGAAAGTAAATGTTTCCCCTGTCATTAGGTCTAGTCGTGTCCGACTCTGGGCGGTGGTGCTCATTTCCATTTCTAAGCCAAAGAGCTGGTGTTGTCCATGGACACCTCCAAGGTCAAGTGGCCAGCATGACTGCATGGAGTGCCATTACCTTCCTGCAGAAGCAGTACCTATTGATCTACTCACATCTATATGTTTTCAAACTGCAAGGTTGGCAGAAGCTGGGCCTAATAGCAGGAGCTCACCCTGCTCCCCAGATTCGAATCGCTAACCTTTCGGTCAGCGAGTTATTTTCTATAAATGAATAATCCTATACAATAGTTTTATGAACTTTTAAAAGCTTAACCTTTAAGATACATGTCCTATCCAAATACATCTCTCCCTCCTGACACTTTTCCCAAACTGTTTTTTAAAAAAATAAATGTATTTATTTATTTATTTATACACCGGAGGCCCCGGTGGCGCAGTAAYTTAAAGTGCTGAGCTGCTGAACTTGCTGAACAAAAGGTTGCAGGTTAGAATCCYGGAAGCGGGGTGAGCTCCTGCTGTTAGCCCCAGCTTCTGCCAATCTAACAGTTTAAAAACATGCAAATGTGAGTAGATCAATAGGTACTGCTCCAGCGGGAAGGTAACGGTGCTCCATGCAGTCATGCTAGCCACATGGCATTGGAGGCGTCTACAGACAATGCTGGCCCTTCAGCTTAGAAATGGAGATAAGCACCAATCCCCAGAGTTGGACACAACTGGACTTAATGTCAAGGGAAAACCTTTACCTTTACTATTTACTATCCCCAATATACTAAATGCAGGTATAATACCTGTTGATCCCATTTAGTATTCACTGTGTGCTTACATCCAGGTGAATGTATGTATTCCAACTTTCGAATACCAAACACCAGCAGTGTTGTGCTTACTTGAAGGGATGCCAAACAAGGCATCAAGGGGCTCATTGTTTTCGTGCAGAACAAAAGTGACCTCTTCTGGCAGGAAGGAAGAACACTTCAAAGGAGCGCATGAAGTGATTTAATAGTCAAGCTGCAAAGAGTGAGAACCGTCTAGACATCAGGACCCTTGCTGTAAAATTCAGGGAAGCTTCAAACCTTATGTGGTTTTAAAGCATGTGTTTGGCCCTGTAAAGAGCTGTGGCCAATCCTGGCACATGCATGATATAAGCATTTCTAAATAGGTTCTTGCCATGTTCATGTTCATACCATCTCTAATGGTATTCCACAAAAAGGTGAAGACCTGGATGTTTGTGCAGGCGTTTGAGTAATTTAGTGCAATCTGGTAATGGAACATAGGAATGGAACAAGGGACGACGAACCTGGACTACGCTTGGATGATGAGAAGATTGGGTACGGTTGTTTTTTGTAATAATTGTGCATTGTAACTGCTTATTGGTAATTTATGGATAATGTGTTAAGTCAATTGTTATATGTTGTATGGAACCACTGCTGTTTCTACTGTTTTTACTGTTTGTGAACCGCCGTGAGTCGCCTTCGGGCTTGAGATACAGCGGTATATAAGCAAAGTAAATAAATAAATAAATGTTCCATAATGTGCACTTCTTCTCCTTTGTATCCCACTTTCTCTCCACATTGGGACTCAAAAGGACTTGCAATTCCAGACAGCTAGAAATTTCTAATTCCAGAAAGCTTGGTATTAGAAAGTGGCTAAAATGCATTCACCTGGATGTAAGTGCACAGTAAATACGAGATGGGATCAACAGGTGTTATAGCTGCATTGAGTATATTGGGTAAAGGCAGGATAATAATAATAATAATAATAATAATAATAATAATAATAATAATGTAGTAATAATAATAAATAATTTAAAATTTCAGGCAATACTATAAGTTAAAAACCAGATTTAAGTCCACTGATCTCTCTATATGTGCGTGTGCGTGCGCATGTGTGTGTGTGTATGTGTAGATATATATATGTATATGTATATGTGTGTGTATATATATATATATATATATATATACACACACATACATATACATGTAATGTTTGTTTGTGGGATTAACATAACTCAAAAACCACTGGACAAATTGACACCAAATTTGGACACAATGCACCTATCAGTCCGAGTGACCATCACTCATCAAAACACTGAAAAACACTGCAGAAGCGACTTAAAAAGCCAAAATAACAAAAAATGCATTACAATGCATGCACAAAACCACATATATATATATACGCAATCACACATATACAGAAATATATACACACACAAAATACATATACACAGACTGGGCCACAGCAACGCATGGCAGGGGATGGCTAGTGTGTGTGTGTGCTTATTTATTTATTTCATACATTTCTATCCCGCCCTTCTCCCCACAAGGGGACTCAGAGCGGCCTCACATAGGCATTTGATGCTTACAACATATACATCAAAGAATACAATAAAACAGTAGAACAGTAAAATCATCTTAAAACATCAAACACATCAGCCAATACATTCATTTACCAGATAACATTAAAATGCCAGTAAAACAAAAATCAAACCGGGAAATCCAGTGTCGCAACCCAAAATCCTTTCCTATTGTCATTATCATCTAATCAAACGCCTGGCTACAGAGCCAGGTCTTTAGTTGTCTTCTAAAGGACAGGAGGGAGGTGGCCAACCTGATGTCCTTAGGGAGGGAGTTCCATAGACGGGGGCCACTGCCGAGAAGGCCCTGTCTCCTGTCTCCACCAACTGCATTTGTGAGAGTGGCATGATATGAATAAAGTTTAAATAATGTACCAGTAAGGTCTACTCGTGGACCACCATGAGAATTTCGGGGGGGAGGTGCTGAAGCCCCTCAAGCCCCACCCCCGGCTACATGCCTGGTGTAGGCATTACAAAATGGAACTGTAGATGAGAGTTTACTGAACAAGGCAGTACCTGCTGCATACCAGTACTGCTATCTGTTGAGGAGTTACAAAGGTGGAGGCATTACAAAATGGAACTGTAGAGGAGAGTCTACTGAACAAGCCAGTACATGCTGCATACCAGTACTGCTACCTGTTTCGGAGTTACGAAGGTGGAGGCATTACAAAATGGAACTGCAGAGGAGAGTCTAGTGAGCAAGCCAGTACCTGCGGCATACCAGTACTGCTATCGGTTGAGGAGTTACAAAGGTGGAGGCCTTACAAAATGGAACTGTAGAGGAGAGTCTACTGAGCAAGCCAGTACCGGCCGCATACCAGTACTGCTATCAGTTGAGGAGTTACGAAGGTGGAGGCCTTACAAAATGGATCTGTAGAGAACAGTCTACTGAACAAGCCAGTACATGCTGCATACCAGTACTGCTATCGGTTGAGGAGTTACGAAGGTGGAGGCATTACAGAATGGATCTGTAGAGGAGTTACGAAGGTGAAGGCATTACAAAATGGAACTGTAGAGGAGAGTCTACTGAACAAGCCAGTACCTGCCGCATACCAGTACTGCTATCTGTTGAGGAGTTACAAAGGTGGAGGCATTACAAAATGGAACTGTAGAGGAGAGTCTACTGAGCAAGCCAGTACCTGCCGCATATCAGTACTGCTATCTGTTGAGGAGTTATGAAGGTGGAGGCATTACTTTTCAATCAACCCTGGGCCACTGTAGAACCAGGCATCAAGCATTCTGAACTTCATCTCCCAGAATTCCTGGCTCTTGGCCCAGCCGGCCGGGGCTTCTGGGAGTTGAAGTCCAAAGCCCTACAGATTGGAAAGCACTGCTTGGATGGTGTTGTAAAGTCATGAATCTGCCTGCAGGCGCGGTGCAAAAGGGATCTTGCCCCGTTGCAAGGCGCGACCTCTTCCGCAGCTGCTGTGCAGAGGGGGCTCGCCTTCACCTCCGACCTGGAGCTGCCTGGATCCATGTGATCCCTGGATCCCGGGCGGGGATTGGCTGCTGCGGAGGGCGAGGCGGGGGCGGCCTCCATTGGCGGGCGGATGGCTCTGGGCTGCCTGCTGCCGGCGGGGAGAGCGGCGCTGCGGGCGAGGAGGGGCCCGGGACCCGCTCTGGGAAGGCTCCCCTTCTGCTGGAGCCCCGGCCCCTCGGGACCCAGGGACAGCAGAGGATGCGGGGGGATCCGGGTGAGAGAGAGAGAGATCCCCTCCAGGATGTTGCCTGCCCTTTGCCCCCTCTTTCCCTCCCGCTTCCCTCCTTCTGTTCCCTTTTGGGGATCACTCTCTTTGCCCCCTGCTTCCCTTTGCAACCCTGTCCCTTGGGGCACACAAAGGGCCAATGCAAAATCAGCTTTCCAGCCTGTGTTGTCCTGGCTTAACCAACATATGGGTGTCCTTATGGCCAACCCCAAGCATTTCATAAGGATTTCTTAGGCAAAGGTTGTTTATTCATTCAGTTGCTTCCGATTCTTCGTGACCTCATGGACCAGCCCACGCCAGAGCTCCCTGTCGGCCGTCACCACCCCCAGCTCCTTCAGAGTCAAGGCATAAGATGTTGTTGTTGTTTATTCGTTCGGTCGCTTCTGACTCTTCATGACCTCATGGACCAGCCCATGCCAGAGCTCCCTGTCGGCCATCACCACCCCCAGCTCCTTCAGAGTCAAGGCATAGGTTGTTGTTGTTGTTTATTCATTCAGCTGTTTCCAACTCTTTGTGACCTCATGGACCAGCCCATGCCAAAGCTCCCTGTCGGCCATCACCACCCTCAGCTCCTTCAGAGTCAAGCCAGTCACTTCAAGGATGCCATCCACCCATCTTGGTCTTGGCCCCTCTTCCTTTTTCCTTCAATTTTCCCCAGTATCCTTGTCTTCTCTAAGCTTTCCTGTCTTCTCATGATGTGGCTTTGACCAATTCTTTCCTCTGAAATGTTGCTCACAGCAAAAAAGAAAAGAAAAGGGCGCATCTAGAAATATTGACACTTGACACTTGGAACTGCTATGGCTCAATGCTATGAATCCCTTGGAATTGCAGTTTGATAAGGCAGTAGGTTAAACTTTGTGACTGCATTTCCTTTTATGAACCTACACGATCCCTTCGATCTTTCGGAGAGGCCCTTTGCACGCTCCATCGCAAGTGCGACTTGTGGGGATGAGGGAGAGGGCCTTCTCTGTGGTGGCCCCTCGGTTCTGGAATCTGCTCCCCAGAGAAATTATGCAAGCCCCCACCTTGGCAGTCTTGAGCTTGAAAACTTGGCAGTCTTGAGCTTGAAAACTTGGCAGTTCCAGTGTGCCTTCAAGGAATGATTAACTGAACTATAACCTCTGACTTGAGGTTATCTTCTACCTACTAGTGCAATTAAACCTTACTTTCGTCCCCCCTGATCCCCTGTCCAGATACAATTCATTGCCTTCTCACCCAGTATTTTTAAACTTTTAATCTTTGCTATCGGCCTTCCCACTGTGATTTATTTTCTGTGTTTAAATTATTGTGATGTTTATTTATATTGTTTTTGTATTTTACTTTTTATTTTTACATTTTACTGTTGTTGTATGTTGTTTGTTTGCATTGCTGTATTGTTAGGCTTGGCCTCATGTAAGCCACCCTGAGTCTCATTGGGGAGATGGCGGCGGGTTATAAATAAAGATTATTATTATTATCCGCTGAACTTGCAGACCAAAAGTTCGCAGGTTCGAATCCGAGGAGCGGCGTGAGCTCCCACTGTTACCCCCACCTTCTGCCAACCTAGCACTTCAAAAACATGCAAATGTGAATAGATCAATAGGTACCATACCGCCTTGGTGGGAAGGTGACGGCGCTCCATGCAGTCATGACTTGGAGGTGTCTATGGACAATGCTGGCTCTTTGGCTTAGAAATGGAGATGAGTACCAACCCCCAGATTCAGTCACCTTTACCTTTACCTAATGTCTTTAGGCTTCACTGTTGGTTTGTTTGTTTGTTTGGCGTGTCAGAAGTGACTTGAGAAACTGCAAGTCGCTTCTGGTGTGAGAGAATTGGCCGTCTGCAAGGACGTTGCCCAGGGGATGCCTGGATTATTTGATGTTTTTATCATCCTTGTGGGAGGCTTCTCTCATGTCCCTGCATGAGGAGCTGGAACTGATAGAGGGAGCTCATCCGCCTCTCCCCGGATTCGAACCTGCGACCTGTCGGTCTTCAGTCCTGCCAGCACAGGGGTTTCACCCACTCTGCCACCGGATGTATTATATGTGTGTATATATGTATATGTATGTGTATGTGTGTACGTATATATATATATCAATGCAGTTTGAACCTGTGAACATGTGTCGGCATCATCATCATCTTTTTCCTCATAGTAGAAGTAGACAAATGGTATCCATAAGAATACACAGAACAGTATGATCGAATACAGTGTGTAATATGCATAGAGCACGGTATCTTCAATCTGTCACCGAACTACACCTCGCAGGATTCAGTCCTGGCCCTTAAAAATGGTGTCACTGCATTTCCCCCCCTACAGCGGTGGTTCCCAACCTGTGGTCCGTAGACCACTAGTAGTCCGTGAGAACTAAATTATGGTCCACGTCCTCACTGTTATACTTTTGCAACGAGAGTGACTGGTCTTGCGGAACCTCTTATAGTGCCAAGGCTTATTAAATATGGTTTTTGTGTGTTGGTGAGCTGATGGCAACTACTGGATGGCGGGGTATAAATAAATATGATGATGATGATGATGATGATGATGATTATTATTGGGACTTCCAAGGCCGACTGTTGCTTTGTGTTGCCTGTGGGGCTTGTTGGAGTGTGCCACTTAAATGAAAATACAGCAAGAGAGGCTGATGGCTGAGGTCTCATACAACACATTAAATTTAACTAGTTTTTAGAAGATACCATTGTGTCTTAGTTCCATTTCTGAGTGTGGATTGGTTCTTGACTTTTAAGCCCCAGAGGATGTATATTATAGTTTCTTCTGAAACTGTTTGTGTGTTAAGATTATGGAAGGATTGCTCTGTTTGTCCTCAGATGACATTTTGGGTGCAAGAGGAGGACAGGCATTTCCTCATGATGACATCTCAATTGTGGAATGTACTCTCTGAGGTGGAGTTTTACACAGTTCCTGAAACAAGTTTTTTTTTTTAACTCAAACCTTTGACAGGCTCTCAATTTTTGCTGGTATTACCAATATTGTTTTAATTTTGCTTAGAGGTTTTTCAGTGTTTAAGACTTCTTAAAAAAACAGATAACGATTTTATTGGCTTTGCTGTTTGCCTCCAACGGACTAGTAGAGTTGGTGCCAAAGACAACATAAAAAGAGCCACAAATCTAAATCACCGTTGTTAGTCAATACAATTTCAGTCCTGTATCCTACCTTCAATATACAAGTGTAAAATGTAATGCTGGAGTAGCTTGTTTGAAGACACATTTCATCGTAATATAGTAAAATTTAAATTTGACTTGGAAAACTTTTCTACTTGGAAATCCATTGATTTCAGTACCAGTTAAGTCTGTTTACATACGTTTAAGACTGCAGCATTATACAGCATAGCTATACTGCTCTTGTTAATAGCACATATAATTCATGCATGGAACACATCATGCGTCAAACACATCTCACCACACTAAAACAGTGGATATGGCTCTTAATGAGACATGCTGCATTATCACGGGGTGTCTGCGCCCTACACCACTGGAGAAATTACACTGCTTAGCCAGTATTGCACCACCTGACATCCGCCGGGAAGTAGCTGCCAATAGTGAAAGGACCAAGGCAGAGACATCTCCAGCTCATCCCCTGTTTGGGTATCAGCCAGCACGTCAACGACTTAAATCTAGAAATAGTTTTCTTAGATCTACAGAGACACTCGCTGGAACACCTCAGCAAGCGAGAGTCCAAAAGTTGCAGGCCCAAACCCAGCACCTCAATTCATGGGTGATACCAGATGAGAGACTCCCCCCTGGGCACACAGAAAACTGGGTGACTTGGAAGGCACTGAACAGACTGCGCTCTGGCACCACAAGATGCAGAGCCAACCTTCAGAAATGGGGCTACAAAGTGGAATCCTCGACACGCGAGTGTGGAGAGGAGCAAACCACTGACCACCTGCTGCAATGCAACCTGAGCCCTGCCACATGCACCATGGAGGACCTCCTTGCGGCAACACCAGAAGCACTCCAAGTGGCCAGATACTGGTCAAAGGACATTTAATCAACTACCAAACTCACAAATTTTGTATTTTGTCTGTGTCTTTGCTTTGTTCTGTTAGAAATGTAATATGATTGACTGGTTGCCCTGACACGACAAATAAATAAATAAATATTATTTGTGAATCAGGCAACAAATGCCTGAATTCAAAGCTGCTAAGCAATTAGCTCAGCACATGTGCATTCATAGTGTATAACATAATGTACTATAATATAAATCAAACTTGAGAATATTTAAATTGGGATCAAAAAGTATTAAAGAGATTGGAAAAAATGAGCGTGTGACTGTTTCTCTTTTCTTGGAAGAAGGTAGTTCCTTTACACCAGGGGTGAGAATTGTGCAAGACTCCAGATGTTGTTGAAGAGCATCTTCCTCATCATTCTTCATTATTGGCTTGGCTGAGACCTGCAAGTTAATGGCATCTACCCAACTCTCACTTCCCTGCTTCAGAGTTTTTAATCTTTTTTTGTGAAAAAGCAATGTTACATAGCCTCATTTTTAAACTCTTTGCAGACAACTTCTCCCTCATTTGGATTCCTCTTTGATATCGATGGAGTCCTTTTACGGGGCCGACTAGTCATTCCTGCTGCTAAGAAGGCCTTCCAGAAACTGACAGATGCCAAAGGCCGGTTCCATGTACCGGTTGCTTTTGTAACCAATGCTGGGAACTGCTCTCGGGAAAACAAGGCTGAGGAACTCACTGAAGCACTTGGATTTAAGGTACGTAATAAATGTGAGGCTCTCTTTTATACTGGGTTACTACCTGGTGGACTTCTCTGTGAAATTCGAATTCTACAGGGTTTTGTTTGTCTCATGTTTTGCTCTTCCAGAAACAAAAGTTCTGTCCTTTGGAAGCATACTATCGTTACTACCCTTGTATTGCATACCCTTCTGTGGTGCTGGATATGTATATAATATTCATCCTCTATGTAAGATGGTCTGTACTTTAAAGAAAACAAGTCATTCTGCTACTATTTAGTGTTTCTTGTTTGGATTTCTGTATGGAATGAGGATAATATGAGTGTCATGGCTGGTAATATGTGTATTCATAATTATGTGTAATTATGAACTATGATATTTTACTGATTGTATGTTTTTATGGTTGTAAACCGGGCTGAGTTCCTCTAAGAGGTGAGAAGCTCGGTATAGAAAACTTTGAAATAAATAAATAAATAATAATATTGTCATTGGCACTGCACTAAGTCACTTTAGTAGTTCAGAGAAGCTCCGATAATACATTTACTATGTGATCAAATCTAATGAGGTTCTCTTTTTAGAAATAGCAACTAGGAGGAGGGGATACAAGTTTGTAGTCGGATCTGGCCAGAGCGGTCCATGCCTTAGTCACCTCCAGATTGGATTACTGTAATGCACTCTACGTGGGGCTGCCCTTGAAAACGGCCCAGAAATTTCAACTGGTATAACGAGCGGCAGCCAGGTTATTAACTGGAGTGACTTACAGGGAGCGGTCAACCCCCGTTTAAGGAGCTCCATTGGCTGCTGTTAATCTTCCGGTCCCAATTCAAGGTGCAGGATCTTAACTACAAAGCCCTAAACGGTTTGGGATCCGCTTACCTACGTGACCGCATTTCTGTGTACGAACCCACATGATCTCTTCGATCATCCGGAGAGGCCCTGCTCGCGCTCCCGCCTCCCTCACAGGCACGATTGGTGGGGACGAGGGAGAGGGCCTTCTTGGTGGTGGCCCCCTGACTCTGGAACTCACTTCCAAAGGATATCAGGCATGCCCCAACATTGGCAGTCTTTAGGAGGAGCCTGAAAACGTGGCTGTTCCAGTGTGCCTTTCCGGAATAAAGGAATAACTTTCAGCAAAATGTCCTTACAAATGCACTTTAACTGCTGGATTGCGTTGGACTGCGTCCCCCACTTTTTAAAACCCTCCTACGAGATATATCCTACCTTGTTCATGCCCAGCGTTATTTTTTAAAATTTTAAATTATTACATTTGGCCTGGCCATAGGTTTTTAAATCCTTGTGTGTTATTGTTATATGTGATTTATATTAATTTGCATTGCACTGTATTGTTTTGTTTATTGCTTTTGTGTTTTGATGTGTTATTGGGCTTAGTCTCATGTAAGTCGCTCTGAGTCCCTTGGGGAGATGGTGGCGGGGTATAAATAAAGTTTTATTATTTATTATTAGTAGTAGTTCCTTCTTAAACTTAATTTCATTTTTCTTCATGCTTACAAGCTCATGGCATGTTTTTTAGCTGCAGCCCTTTGACATAACGCAGAGCTGTGTCATTAGCGCAAATTAAAGAGTCAGCAGATGGACGGAAACAATCAATTAACTGAAACCCTGGACAGGATCATGGCCAAACCTATGATTGTTCTGATTATGTTCTAACTATGTCTCGGCTGCTTTAAAATTAAATGCTTAGGGCAGCATTTGTTTGAGTGTAATACAATAATTCCTCAGTTCTTGGAGCATCTGTTCCAGATATAATTGTGGGGAAGTCTCTTTTGAGCATTATTTACTGACACACATTTTATCACTTGATAACTGAAGTTGTGGCTTTGGGTATGAGAAGCAACCCATTACTAATCAAACATGCACAGAGCTCTCTTTGATATTTGTCACAATTTAGAAGACTTTATCATGGGTGGAGTCCATATCTTCATTATGTTAGGGAAAGCAGCCTTCACAAGCCTCCTCTTTATGATGTTTGTTTGTTTTGTAATGAGTCATTTTATAAACTGATTTATTTGATTTGCAGTTTCCTTATCTCTATATACTTATAGCAGTGGGAGGGGCTGCAGGTCTCTTGACTGACTAAGTGACAGTTTAGGATGTTTAAACAGGATGACAGTGAATGTCTGTTGAAGAATGACTGTTAGAGAACAATGTTGAACCTTGAATGAGCTTAAGTCTGTCAGAGTGCAGAAGATCATGTTAGGAAGTTAGGAATTGTTGAGGCTTATGTTTTATTTGAAAGTAAACTCTTATTAAAGAGATTTGTATAAAGCAACCTAGTTTATGAAGAAACTCTTAAAGATTATAAGTTCAAGACACAAACTCTCTGAAAAGTTACGGACGTCTTTAACCTTTGACAAAAAACGTGCCGGTATCTTTAAATACATGAAGTTATTAGTAAACAAAACCTGTTATCTTTAAAAGAAGTCTGCTTGCATCATTGTCCGCTTTTTTGGTCGTGTCAGGAGTGACTTGAGAAACTGCAAGTTGCTTCTGTTGTGAGAGAATTGCCGTCTGCAAGGACGTTGGCCAGGGGACGCCCGGATGATTTGATGTTTTATCATCCTTCTGGGAGGCTTCTCTCATGTCCCCGCATGAGGAGCTGGAGCTGATAGAGGGAGCTCATCCGCCTCTCCCCGGATTCGAACCTGCGACCTACCGGTCTTCAGTCCTGCCGGCACAGGGGTTTAACCCACTGCGCCACCGGGGGCTCCTATCATTGTCCGCTGAAAGCATCAAGCAGAGATGAAATATCTACATGTCTAGTGATCATCAATCACCAAATAAACACTGCTACCCCTATTAGGTTGTGATCCTAACAGTTCATTATCGATATATACCCCGATGGTCAGTGATCCTAACAGGTCATGATCCATTATCCCTAATACATTAAGAATTTGGTGATTGTCATTTGTGCGTATACTTTACTTTAGTGTGTGAAGATGGACTGGGTGTATCTTTTATATACATATATATATATATACATACATACATACATACATACATATTATTTTAGGATATGTTGTTCATTCGTTCAGTCGTCTCCGACTCTTCGTGACCTCATGGACCAGCCCACGCCAGAGCTCCCTGTCGGCCGTCACCACCCCCAGCTCCTTCAAGGTCAGTCCAGTCACTTCAAGGATGCCATCCATCCATCTTGCCCTTGGTCGGCCCCTCTTCCTTTTGGCTTCCACTTTCCCCAGCATAATTGTCTTCTCTAGGCTTTCCTGTCTCCTCAGATAACAGATAACGATTATATTGGCTTTGCTGTTTGCCTCCAATGGACTAGTAGAGTCGGTGCCAAAGACAACATAAAAAGAGCTACAAATCTAAATCACCGTTGTTAGTCAATACAATTTCAGTCCTGTATCCTACCTTCAATATACAAGTGTAAAATGTAATGCTGGAGTAGCTTGTTTGAAGACACATTTCATCGTAATATAGTAAAATTTAAATTTGACTTGGAAAACTTTTCTACTTGGAAATCCATTGATTTCAGTACCAGTTAAGTCTGTTTACATACGTTTAAGACTGCAGCATTATACAGCATAGCTATACTGCTCTTGTTAATAGCACATATAATTCATGCATGGAACACATCATGCGTGGAACACATCTCACCACACTATTTTAGGATATACACATACACAAACACAATAGTTACAATTCCAACCACCACAGTATATAAATCTAGAAGGATTGTCTCCAAAAGGATTAAAAGGATTTCTTGTGTTTGATGTTTGATGTTTTTGTGTTTGATGTTTGTGTTTGATGTTTGATTTTATATTGCTGTGTTGTTTATTATATTGGTTTTTGCATTTTATGTTTTAGTGTAATACTGTGTTTATTGTGTTGATGGGCGTGGCCTCATGTAAGCTGCCTCGAGTCCCCCTGGGGGAGATAGAGCGGGGTATAAATAAAGTTTTTATTTATTATTATTATTATTATTATTATTATTATTATTATTATTATTATTAAAAGACAATAATCCTTGTGGTGGTGGTGGTTGGACTGGATGTATCTACACATTCCATCACTCAGTCGGTGTTATTTCCAGCCTGTTGCCTATTTCTGTGAACCAAGAGAAGTAATATCCATTAACATGTCTATCCAGTGTGGCTTTCCAAGCTGCCTTGTTAGCATCTAATGTCTGAGATAAAAAGAACAAGGGCTGAAATTCCTTCAATATTACTTTGATTTCATCTGGCATTCTAGTTTACAATATTATAAATCAATTTATAGTTGCATCGAGTAGAATCACAGCATTGCATAACTGTTGTATTCCTAGGAAGGGAGTGTTGTTGTTGGAACTGTTGCACAACTGGAAGGAGGAGCATGGCAATGACTGAAACCTACAATAGTATGACAGTTTGCAAGATAGGTTGCTCTTCCACAATGACAGAGGCAACAGAACTACAGAAATCGATAAGGGAGAGCAATGGGAAGATGTGGGTGCCCTGTACCCCATTGTGTGGGGGGAGCCCCCCATGTGCCTGTCACTCTCATATCAGCAATGGAGCTCTATAATCATAAAATTATGCATTGTAGCCTTTGATGCTGGATCTTGGCTGTTGTCAGCTGAAACAGGGGTCATTTGTGTGGGAAGAGGCTGAGCAGGTGGGCATATTGCATGTTAGAAGGTAGGCCACTGCTCCTTCCTGACTTCCCCTTCTTTTCCAGGTATCTCCGGAATGGGTGATCCTCTCCCATAGCCCTCTGCGCCTTTTCCATGAGTTCCATGGCAAGTGTATGCTTGTGTGTGGACAGGGTCCTGTGGAGGAGAATGCCAAAGCGTATCCTTTGCTGCCTTCAGATTTCCTCCCTACTCTCTTCTCCCCCTTAGCAGTGTTTTAAGAGCCGGTGCCATGGACTGAATTGAAGGTTAGACAGGCTTAGATCCCCCAATATCAAGACTAACGAATACATTGAAATTTGGTCCTCAGGTTGTTAGAAGATTCATTGTTAGAGTGCTACTGAGTGTTACTGAAAACCCACAAGAGAAGGGAACTCAGAACAAAAAAACCCCCACCCTAATTAATTAATTAATTACAGTATTTATATTCTGCCCTTCTCACCCCGCAGGGGACTCAGGGCGGATTACAGTGTACATATACATGGCAAATATCAATGCCATAGACACACAACATATATAGACAGACACGCAGAGGCTATTTAACTTTCCAGTTTTCCTGAGGGTATTCTGGCCACTAGGGGAGCTGTTGCTTCACTGTGCATTTGAGACACTGATGAAGTACTTCCTCATTCTTTGCTTGTTTGCTTGCTGGAGGTTTTTATGGCGTCGTAAATTAGTTAAATTAGCCTCCCCGCATAAGCGCTACCTAAATTTCCTGCTTGACAGATGCAACTGTCTTTCGGGCTGCAAAGGTCGACAGCAAGCTACACAGAATGGTTGGAAGCTCTCTCCGACCCGGGTTGGCTTTGAAATCATTACTTTTCAGTCAGTAGTGATCTTAATGTAACTGACTCCCAGCCAGCTGTGCCACAGTCCCAGTGCAGTATAGTTGGGCTAGTTCTCAATATCCCAAAGACACCAGATCCTGTCTGATCCTGGCAACTAAACAGAATCATGCCTAGTTAGTACTTGCATGGAAGATTTCTATAGAATACCAAGTACCATAGGCTATATTTTAAAACAGTGGTTCTCAACCTGTGGGCCCCCAGATGTTTTGGCCTTCAATTCCCAGAAATCCTGACAGCTGGTAAACTGGCTGGGATTTTTGGGAGTTGTAGGCCAAAACACCTGGGGACCCACAGGCTGAGAATCACTGTTATAAAAGGATGGCAATGGCAAACCATATCTGAGTATTGTCAAAGTCTTTCATGGCTGGAATCGTTGGATTGCTGTGAATTTTTTGGGCTGTATGGCCATGTTCCAAATGCATTTTCACCTGACATTTAGATGTGCAAGCATCCCCAAAGGTTGTGTGATCTGTTGGAAACTAGGCAAGTGTGTTTTATATATATCTGTGGAATGTCCAGGGTGGGAATAAGAACTCTTGTCTGTTTGAGGCAAGTGTGAGGCAAGGATCCCGCCCCCAGGCAGCAATCAGCCAGGCTTTGAAGTTACAAGGCCATTCAATGCTAATCAAGGTGGCCAATTGCAACATTCACACTTGCCTCAAGCAGACAAGACTTCTTTCTCCCATCCTGGATATCCCACAGATATATAAACCCCACTTGCCCAGTTTCCAACAGACCTCACAACCTCCGAGGATGCCTACCATAGATGTGGGCAAAACGTCAGGAGAGAATGCTTCTTGAACATGGTCATACAGCCTGGAAAACTCACAGCAACCCATATCTGAGTATTTCTTGCCTAAGAAAAGCCTGTAAAAGTCTGTAAATTAACAGGCCATTTGATCTCTCACACACATGTACACACAGTTGGGCTTTAGGAATCCTGTTGTCCCATCACAGATTTTGAATATACTCCAGGTTGAGGTTTGCAGGTATCTGAATTTGAGAACCCCAAAAGGCAGTGGTCTGAATATTGGGCTACTCAGGACAACCAAATTCTAACATGTCATTTTAGTCATTTTAGTCCAGTCCAACCTACTTTATAGGTTGAGAGGTAAAATAGAAGTAGGATAAACTATATGTATTCCCTTGGGTTCCTCAGAGAATATATGGTGGTACACTTGAAATGAATCTCAGGCCACTTTTTGAAATTCTCAGGCCACTTTTTGATTTGTTTTTGGTGTTCTCTGCGGCACAAAGAAGAGGCAGATTTAAAAAGATGTGGGTGATCTCTTGACATTTCCCTTCATTTTCAGAGGCAGCTATTTTCTTCCTTGACCATCTAAACTAGGTTGGGATTCCAGCATGTCGTGACCATTGAAAATGTGAGGAAGGCATTTCCTTTGCTGGATATGGTGGATCAGAGTCGGAGGCCAAAAGTCCTGGCAAGTATTGACACAACAAACATCGATTCATTGAAAGCATGGATCTTTTTAGTGTTTGCATAAGTACTTTGTTGACTGTTTACTGTTTCTATAAAGTAGTACTTGTTTAAGCATTTCAATACAGGAAACATTTCCAAATGATCCGTGCCATAATTGGCTATAATTATATCTGCTTTCCTGTATAAAAATAGAATAGCGCTTGGATTATTTGCAAGTTAAAGCATCAAAGTTCTATAACTCTGCAAGTTCGATTTAGCAAATTCAAATACCGTATATACTCGTGTATAAGCAGGCCCAAATATAAAACAAGGCACCCAATTTTACCACAAAAAAACTGGGAAAACATATTGACTCAAGTATAAGCCGAGGTGGGAAATGCAGCAACTACTGGTATATTTCAAAATAAAAATAGATACCAATAAAATTACATTAATTGAGGCATCAGTAAGTTAAATGTTTTTGTATATTTACATAAAACGGTAATTTAAGATAAGACTGTCCAACTCTGATTAAACCATTATTCTAACCTTCTTCAACGTAAATGTGCTTACATATCCTTCCAATAATAATAAAGAGAGTAACATAATAAATGTAATAAAATTATAACTGGATAAAATAATGGAAATGTAATAATAACAGTAATAATAGAGTAAAATAATAATTGTAATAATAAACTGAAAAACAATAAATGTAATGATGATAATAATAAATAGAGTAAAATAATGGGAATTCTAGAGTAAAATAATAAACGTAATAATAATAATAACAATAGAGTAAAATAATGGAAATGTAATAATAACAATAATAATATAATAAAATAATAAATGTAATAATTCTAGAGTAAAAGAATAAATGTAGTAATAATAAATAGAATAAAAGAATAAATGCAATAACAATAATAGCAGATTAAAATAATAAACATTAATAACAACAACAACAATAGAGTAAAAGAATAAGTGTAATAATAATAGAGTAAAAGAATAAATGTAATAATAATAGAGTAACATAAATGTAATAAAAATAATAATAGAGTAAAATAATAAATGTAACAACAACAACAGAGCAAAATGATAAATAACTTTGACTTGAGTATAAGCTGAGGGGGGCTTTTTCAGCCTAAAAAAAAGGCTGAAAAACTCAGCTCATACTAAAGTATATACGATATGTAGAATAAAATAATTGGAAAAAACTTTATTTTTTTAAAAAAAACTGTCCATGCCCTGCTTAACAAAGTACTTATACCACTAAATGTGCACTACAGGCACCATGAATATTTTTGAAAAACTCTGATCTATTCAGACATTGTAAAATGACCCGTTTCTCTTCTTGTCATTTTGATAGCCTCCTCCAACCACCGACTTCCCTACCATTGAAGGTAAGTGATCTGGAGAAACAACCCTAACATTTGGTGGGATATGGTATTGGAAAATGCAAATTTTTTAGCAGCTGGAGTATTACCTGAAGAGAGAATCCCACAAACACATTCTTCATCAGGGCTGGTAGTGTTTTTGAATGCTGAATATTGAAATACAGGTGGATTTGGAATGATTGACTAACCAAACCCAAAGAATGGTCCTCTTCATCTTCGAAGAGAAATGACTGGTGGGGTGTCCAGGTCCTGTCCTCGGCCCAGTGTTATTTGACATCTTTATGAATGAATTGGGGAGATGGAATAGAAGACATGCATACCAAATGTGCAGGTGACACCAAATTAGGAGGGATAGCTGATACCACAGAGGATTGGATCAGAATGACTTTAACGTAGTTTTTGCTGGGCTAAAACTAATAAAATGAATTTCAGCAGGGAGAAATGAAAAGGTATTTTATTTACAGTATTTATATTTCACCCTTACCCCGAAGGGGACTCAGGGCAGATCACAGAACATATACTCCGCAAACATTCAATGCCGTTAGACAGACAAGACAGACAACAGATAGAGGTATTATTTTTCCCAACTTTGGCATCCTGGACATTGTGCTCGTTTCCGGCCACAGGATGTGCTGTTGCTTCATCCTCTATGACAAGGAGTCCTTGATCACAGACGTCTTCCATTCTTTGATTGCTGGCATTTTCTGGTACTTCCTTTTTTAAAGCGGTATCTAATTTCCCTACTCTCACAGCTCACAGCTGTTTTCAAACTGCTTAGGTGGACAGTGATCTGGGTTGAAGGTTGGATGCTCACCCTGACCTGGACTTCAAACTGCCAGTTTTTCGATTGGTGTGATCTTATTGCTGCTGGTGTGCTAAAGCCAGGTGTTACAGTGTGGAGTAGTGGTTTGAGTATTCGGCTATAAGTCTGGAGACCAAGGTTTGATCCCATGGAAATCCACTGAATGACTCTGGGCAAATTGTACACTCTTGGCCCCAGAAAACCCCATGACAGTTTCACCTTAGGGCAGGCATTGGCAAACTTTGTCCCTACATGTATTTTGAACTTCAATCCCCACAATTCCTAACAGCATTGGCTGTTAGAAATTGTGGGAGCTGAAGTCCCAAACACCCGGACGACCAAAGTTTGCCCATGCCTGCCTTAGGGTCACTATAATTCTGAAACTACTTGAAGGTGCACAGTAGTCCATGTGAAAGGGTTTTAGTAATCTTTATGCTGGAATTATGTAGTTTAAAAATCACACCATAGTCATTTGAGGAATTATACTGTAGAATACATAGCCATACAGATTTAAAGAAATTTCCCTGCTGTCTTTCTCTCTAGGGATAATTCTCCTGGGGGAGCCGGTCCGGTGGGAAACTTGCCTACAGCTGATTATTGATATACTCCTTAGCAATGGGAATCCAGGGGCAGAGCTATCCACGGTGCCATACCCACATCTCCCCATCCTGGCCTGCAACATGGACCTCTTGTGGATGGCAGAAGCCAAGATGCCAAGGTGATGTGAATGTCCTGTGGCAGGGCAGATTACTTAGGGAGCTCCCCAATGTTAGAACTACGACTCCATAGGTATATCCAGTGAGTGAGAGATTATGCAATTTTAGAGAGGGCGGCATTGGTCAGTATCAATATCAAGAGGAGATGCATGGCATCTCACAGATTAATCAGTTTATTTTACTATTTATTTATTTATTTATTGCGGTTGCTTATATCCCGCCCTTCTCACCCGGGGGGACTCAGGGCGGCTTACACACACAAGGCACAATTCGATGCCTGTATTACAAAAACATAATATCAAAAACATAACATCAGTAACAACAGTAATTATAACACTGATAACAATTAACATAAACAATCAATATTATCGGCAGGAATAGCCATAAACCCGTAAAAACAATTAAAACAATAAAAACAATACAAACCTCATTGCTGGTCAGTGTTTAACCGACTCATAGTTAGGTTCTACTTTCCACACATTGTTGGTCTTATCATTCTGGTTCCATGTCTAATTGTCAGGGTGCCCAAAGGCCTGGTCCCAGAGCCAGGTCTTTACCTTCCTCCTGAAGGCAAGGAGGGAAGTTGAAGCCCTGATTTCCCTCGGGAGTGAGTTCCACAGATGGGGGGCCACCACTGAGAAGGCCCTGCTCCTCGTCCCCACCAGCCTCACTTGTGATATAAGATTTCATGCATTGCAGCATTTGCAGATAAGTTGGCTGGAGTCCATGAATGTAACAATACATTGGTTAGCCTTTGTGGTGCCACTAGATATCGTCTTCTTTTTTGATATTCCAGCAAAATGTGGACAATCACAAGTTGTTGACTTTGGTCATTATTTATTATTTATTATTATTATTTATTTACAGCATTTATATACTGCTTTTCTCACCCCTAGGGGGACTCAAAGCGGTTTACACATAGATAATGACAAAAATTCAATACCTTACAACTACAATATTAAAACCATACTTTAAACATAAATCATATTAAAAACAGTACATCATCAAATATCAAAACAGTTATTAAAACCTTCTTTGACATCTTTCCGTCCTGGGCCCGGTCCTGTTCAATATCTTTATTAATGACTTAAATGAAGGGCTAGAAGGCATGATCATCATGTTTTCAGGTGACACCAAATTGGGAAAGATAGCCAATACTCCAGAAGACAGGAGCAGAATTCAAAGCGAACTTGACAGATTAGAGAGATGGGCCAAAACTGGTGTTAACCTATAAAGCCCTAAACGACTCCGGCCCGGTTTACCTCTCTGAACGTATTCTCCCCTACGAACCATCAAGATTACTAAGATCGTCTGGAGGGGCCCTGCTCTCGGTCCCACTGGCCTCACAAGTGTGTGAGGAACGAGGGACAGGGTCTTCTCGGTGGTGGCCCCGCGACTCTGGAACTCTCTCCCGCCAGAGGTTAGAACCGCCCCAACAATCCTGACATTCAGGAAACAGGTGAAGTCGTGGTTATGGAGACAGGCTTTCGAAGAATGAGACAATGATCTGGATGGAAGACGGTGTATATTCGATTTTAGTATGACGACTGACCACTGTAGTTTTAAATATATGTGCTTTTTTACTGTGATAGATACGTTTTATTGATTGGCCTATTGGCTGTATCAAAACATTTAACACATAACACAATTAACACATAGTCATACATAGTCATACATACAACATACAACCCTCGGTATAAAAGAAGTTAAAATAAACAAGCTGTTAACAAGATCTCGTTCAGGTCAAATGTCTGCGTCACCTCCACAGTTTACCCCAATTGATTCTAAATGTGCAATTCTCAGCTGTGTTGCTTTGAATAGAAAAAGGGCTGTTTTGTGTGTTATTTTATTTTGCTTTTTTAATGTTTTATTGTAATGTGTATTTTGATATTTTACCGATTGTATGTGTTTTTATGGTTGGAAACCGGGCTGAGTCCCTCTTATGAGGTGAGAAGCTCGGTATATAAAACTTTGAAATAAATAAATAAATAAATAAATAAAATTAACAAACTAACCAAATCAAGTTCAACAAGGACAAATGCAAAATACTGCACTTAGGCAGAAAATATTAAACGCAAAGATACAGAATGAGGGACACCTGGCTCGATAGCAGTACGTGTGAAAAAGATCTTGAAGTCCTCATGAACAACAAATTAATCATGAGCCAACAATGTGATGTGGCGGCTTAAAAAGCCAATGGGATTTTGGTCTGCATAAATAGGAGTATAGTGTCTAGATTCAGGAAAGTCATGCTACCCCTCTATTCTGCCATGGTCAGACCACACCTGGAGTACTCTGTCCAAATCTGGACATTGCCATTTAATTTAAGGGAGATGTTAACAAGCTGGAATGTGTCCAGAGGAGGGCGACTAAAATGATCAAGGGTCTGGAGAACAAGCCCTATGAGGAGTGGTTTAAAGAGCTGGACATATTTAGCCTGCAGAAGAGAAAACTGAGAGGAGACATGATAGCCATGTATAAATATGTGAGGGGAAGTCATAGGGAAGAGGGAGCAAGCTTGTTTTCTGCTGCCCTGGAGACTAGGACGTGGAACAATAGCTTCAAACTACAAGAAAGGACATTCCACCTGGACATTAGGAGGAACTTCCTGAGTATGAGAGCTGTTCAGCAGTGGAACGCTCTTCCTCAGAGTGTGGTGGAGGCTCCTTCTTTGGAGGCTTTTAAACAGAGGCTGGATGGCCATCTGTTGGGGGTGCTTTGAATGCGATTTTCCTGCTTCTTGGCAGAGGGTTGGACTGGATGGCCCACGAGATCTCTTCCCACTCAACGATTCTATGATCTCTTATCAACCCTGCCCACCCTTAACCCCCGGCTGGATCGTTGACAGCAAATCTCTTTGAGAATATGAACTTTTCTCGGTTGTCTTGGCTGAATCAGAAAACTACCTGCTGCCTAGCTCCCCCACCCCCTGGCATTACGATTTTATTTCCTAGTACATCTAGTTGTGAATTTAGTGTAAATAGCTGCCAAGGGTCAGAAGCAGTAAAGTTTTAGAGATTATCATAAAAATATTTAATCAACGGAAGATCAAACATCATAGTTAGCATTGCCAGGTTTTCAAATTGCAATAAGGGACAGTGAAAATTCATAACATACTATTTAAAAGTTTTGGTTCTAATAAAATTGCAAATGAAACAATTTGTTTCAGATAACGTAGCTATATATTTATCTGTAAAATTATTGTTTTCTTATAAAAGTATTGTGTATATACTGCAATTATATGATACACAAATATCTATCTCAGTCTAAAAGTATAGGATTTTTTTGCCATCTTGTTCAGTCTGTATAAAAAGAAAAGTATTCTGGACCTCAAATAGAAGGAAAAAAACCTCTAAAATCAAAACAGTAAATAAAGAACAACACTCAGAAAAACAGGGGAATTCCAGACAGGAAACAATTAGGCCAGCTAACACCTCCCAACAAAGGATTCCTCTGCGCTGGAAGCATCCAGGCTTTGAAGCTGCAAGGCTATTCAATGCTAATCAAGTTGCAACATTCATGCTTGCCTCAAACAGACAAGAGTTCTTTCTCCCACCCTGGACATTATTCCACAGATATATAAACCCCACTTGCCTAGTTTCCAACAGACCTCACAACCTCTGAGGATGCCTCCCATAGATCTGGGTGAAACGTCAGGAGAGAATGCTTCTGGAGCATGGCCAGACAGCCCAGAAAACTCACAGCAACCCAGTGATTCCGGCCATGAAAGCCTTCAACAACACATACAATAAGGGCTGTTGCCAGCCCTGTAGTGACAAGCTTTCTGGCCTCTCAAATAAGGGATATCCTTTATAATAAGGGATACATGACAACCCTAATCATAGTATAGGAATATAAAACAAAAACGCAACTTTTAAGTATGTTATATAATTTATAGGGATTTTTTTACTGACCTCTTCAAGGTTCAGGAGGCAGGATGATTATTTGCCTCTTTAAATGAAGAACGACAAAGTAATGAGAGAGCACAGTAGCAACTAATGCAGGAATAGATTTTTTTATTCCAAAGCAGCAGAGCAAATAATTAACAGTCATGCAGCAGCAACCACACAATATTTCAAACCCCGTATTGATGCAGTTTGGAAAAAAATGAGCAGACATCCTCACTTGGTACTTGAGTAATTTGCCTGTGTTTCCAAATGATGCATGACTGATTATCTTCCCCGCCTGCTCTCTTGGTCAGATTTGGCCACGGCACCTTTCTTGTGTGCTTAGAGAACATCTACAAGAAAATGACTGGAAAGGACCTGAAGTACGAAGCCCTGATCGGGAAGCCCAGCACTGTCACCTACCGCTATGCAGAACACGTGATCAAACAGCAAATGGAGAGTCGCGGCTGGACAACCCCTCTTCGCCAACTTTACGCTGTGGGGTAAGACATCCTTCTTCCTATGTCCTTGTGGGTTTTTTTTCATGTCAAGAGCAACTTAAGAAACTGCAAGTTGTGTCTGGTGTGAGAGAATTGGCCGTCTGCAAGGACGTTGCCCAGGGGACGCCTGGATGTTTTACCATCCCGTAGGAGGCTTCTCTCGTGTCCCCGCATGGGAAGCTGGAGATGACAGATGGGAGCTCAGGCTGCTCCCCAATACTGGGAAAAAGTATTGACTTGAATATAAGCTGAGGGTGGAAAATGCAGCAGATACTGGTAAATTTCAAAATAAAAATAGATACCAATAAAATTAAATTAATTGAGGCATCAGTAGGTTAAATGTTTTTGAATATTTTCATAAAACTGTAATTTAAGATAAGACTGTCCAACTCCGATTAAACCATTATTCTAACCTTCTTCAATGTAAATGTGTTACATATCCTTCCAATAATAATAAAGAGAGTAAACTAATAAATGTAATAATAATAACAGAGTAAAATAATGGAAATGTAATAATAAAATAACAATAGAGTAAAATAATAAATGCAAAAATAATAAATACAGTAAAATAATAAATGTAATAATAATAAATAGAGTGATAAATAAATAGAGTACATTTTCAGATTTGGTTTCAACCTGCTTTCTGAAAAAGCAATTAAAGCAATTACTATAAAATTAGATACTAATTTTTGGTATCTCTAGCAGTATTTAGAAAACACTGAAAGTGCAAGAACAAAGCTTTAATATCTAGAACTCTGTGGTCTAAAAGATCTGGATCATGTTTAACAGACGAAGCGGCCTCTCTGACACTAGAGCCTGGGCCTTTAGTTCTGCTCTCCCCGTAATAATAACAAAGTAAAATAATAAATAACTTTGACTTGAGTATAAGCTGAGTGGGGCTTTTTCAGCCTAAAATAGGACTGAAAAACCCAGCTTATACTCGAGTATATACGGTATATTCTTTGTTAAGGGGGAGTTGGAGTGCAGCATCTCTTACCTTGTAAACAGCAATTTGCATGTTCCATGCATCGATCCTTCTATTGGATGAGGGCATCATAATTTATTTTATTTTATTTATTTTATCGTGTCAGAGGCAACCAGACCATTGTATTACATTTCTAACAGAACAAAACAAACAGACAAAACACAAAATTTGCAAGCTTGGTAGTTGATTAAATGTCCTTTGACCAGTATCTGGCCACTTGGAGTGCCTCTGGTGTTGCTATAAGAAGGTCCTCCATTGTGCATGTGGCAGGGCTCAGGTTGCATTGCAGCAGGTGGTCAGTGGTTTGCTCTTCTCCACACTCACATGTCGTGGATTCCACTTTGTGGCCCTATTTCTTGAGGTTGGCTCTGCATCTCGTGGTGCCAGAGCGCAGTCTGTTCAGCGCCTTCCAAGTCGCCCAGTTTTCTGTGTGCCCAGGGGGGAGTCTCTCATTTGGTATCAGCCATTGATGAGGTTCTGGGTTTGAGCCTGCCACTTTTGGACTCTCGCTTGCTGAGGTGTTCCAGCGAGTGTCTCTGTAGATCTTAGAAACCTATTTCTTGATTTAAGTCGTTGACGTGCTGGCTGATACCCAAACAAGGGATGAGCTGGAGATGTCTCTGCCTTTCACTATTGGCTGCTACTTCCCGGCAGATGTCAGGTGGGTTTGAGCCTGCCACTTTTGGACTCTCGCTTGCTGGGCTGTTCCAGCGAGTGTCTCTGTAGATCTTAGAAAACTATTTCTTGATTTAAGTCGTTGATGTGCTGGCTGATACCCAAACAAGGGATGAGCTGGAGATGTCACTGCCTTGGTCCTTTCACTATTGGCTGCTACTTCCCGGCGGATGTCAAGGCATCATAATTGAACTACTTTACCTTATTGAGTTTTTCTCCCCTCTCTTCTGTTGGCTCTCTCTTCACAGGGACAATCCAATGGCTGACATTTATGGTGCAAATCTTTACAACCGCTACCTCCAGGCCCAGGGTGAAGTCAGCATCACTGCTATGGCTCCTGAGAGCAAGGAACATCTTGAGGTGCAGAGAGATCACAGCGCCTCCATTTGCTCTGCGGAGAGCTGCCAGTCTATCCTGGTCTGCACCGGGGTCTACAATCCCTACGGAGACATGCCTGTGGGCCGCAATGAGAGCATGTTGGAGACAGTATTCCATGGACACAGAGACTTCCATTTTGATCCAAGCTTGGTGGAGGCCTCTCACGTTGTGCACGACGTGAATGATGCTGTGGAACTTGTCTTTCAGAAGGAGGACTGGAAGAACGAATGATCATCCTCACCAGCATCCAAGCTGAGAATGCAGGAGTGGAAGCAGAACCGAGCTCTTTCATGTCTAAGCCATGCTAGAGTAAAGGGAAATTCTCGCCTTAGTGGGGTGTTTTTTTCTTGGGTAGAGTTTGTGTTGGGTTTTTGTGCATAAGGTGCTTAGGAACCATATCCCACCAGGTACATATCTGGAAGTTCTTCATGTTACCCTCTCCTGTAACCCTATTCTTCTGTATGTGTGCAATGGTCTCCCTTGGCAAAGCCAGTGTGAACCTTCACAGCCTCACTCACATAACTACCTTCTTTTTTTAGGCATCGTATCTTAAATAGTTGTGATCTAGCACAATGAGGAATGCTGCATTTTTTGGTTCTTGTCTCTCTTCCAGATGCAAACTAGGTATATTGTTGAAAGCTTTCATGGCTGGAATCACTGGATTGTTGTAAGGATTTCGGGATGTATGGTCATGTTCCAGAAGCATTCTCTCCTGACGTTTCGCCTGCATCTATATCAGGCATTCTCAGAGGTTGTGAGGTCTGTTGGAAACTAGGAAAATGAGGTTTATATATCTGTGGAATATCCAGGGTGGGAGAAAGAACTTTTGTCTGTTTGAGGAAGGTTTGAATGTTTCAGCTGGCCACCTTGATTAGCATTTAATGGCCTAGCAGTTTTCAAGGTCTGTCTTCTTACTGCCTGGGGAAATCCTTTGTTGATTCACTTTCCCTGATTGTTTTTTGTCTGGAGTTCCCCTGTTTGTGAATGTTGTTCTTTATTTACTGTTATGATTTTAGAGTTTTTAAATACCATATATACTCAAGTATAAGCCGACCCAAATATAAGCCGAGGCACCTAATTTTACCACAAAAAAACTGGGAAAATGGATTGACTCGAGTATAAGCCGAGGGTGGGAAATACAGCAGCTATTGGCAAATTTCAAAATAAAAATAGATACAAATAAAATGACATTAATTGAGGTTAAATGTTTTTGAATATTTAAGCTAAGACTGCCCAACTCTGATTAAATCATTCTTATCTTCTTCAATGTAAATGTGCTTGTGTATCCTTCCAATAAAAATAAATAGATTAAAATAATAAAGGTAATAATAATAATAATAATAATAATAATAATAATAATAATAATAAATATAATGGAAAAGTAATATTAACAATAATAATAAATAGAGTAAAATAATATATGCAATAATAACAACAATAATAAAGTAAAATAATAAATGTAATAATAATAGTAATGCATTTATTATGTATTTATAACAGAGTAAAATAATAAATAACCTTGACTCGAGTATAAGCCGAGGGGGACTTTTTCAGCCTAAAAAGAGGTCTGAAAAACTAGGCTTATACTTGAGTATATACAGAACTTTCCTAGTTTCCAACAGACCTCACACCCTCTGATTATGCCTGCCATAGATGCAGGTGAAACGTCAGGAGAGAATGCTTCTGGAACATGGCCATACAGCCTAAAAAACTTATAGCTTGGTGATGTGCAGCTACCAAATCCACCAGAGGTTGATCTACAGCACATGGTGAATTTGTAGAAGAAATATACTATAATACCTCGATTCTAAGATGCACTTTTTTCCATATAAACCTCTCGTAAAACAGGGTATGTCTTAGAATCATGGCTGCTTTTTATATATATAAATAAAGCTTTTTTTTTCTATTGTTGGTACTGAAATTAGTGTCTTAGAATTGATGCCATCTTAGAATTAATGTCATACGGGTATATACCGCAGCAGGCATGCCCTTTTGCTCAGTCTAAGATAGAAATAACATAGCTGGTCGATGCAGTAATAATTCAACAGCACCCTCCAAGTGGTTTTTCCTAACTTTATTATGGCATTTTTGAAATTCTTACCTCTCCTTGAAATTCTTACCTCTCCTTGTCATGAACAACACTATCCTTTCTGCTACTTTTTTGCAACACAGAGTTGTGTATGTAGACAGTGTTCAGGGATGTGAAACAAGTTTAGTTCTGTTGTCTAGGATTTTATGATGGGATAGTCAGAAATTAGCTGTCTGGTTGATTTCCCCTTTTAACAAACTCCCCTTTTAATTAAAAATGTGGGGGCAAAATATGGGAATGGAGAAAAAGAAAAATATTTTTCATAAATCATAATACTAATGATTTTAATCTCAGTGACTGTTAAGGGTAAGCATATAAATTGTATGTCATTTTTTGCTTTGTTTCCTTCTCCCTAAATGGCAAACAGATTTCTCCCTGCGAATAGCTGCATTTCCAAGTTATTTGTTAGTGATTTTTGATCCAGAATTATCAGTATCTACTAGAGCAGTGGTTCTCAACCTGTGGGTCCTCAGGTGTTTGGCCTACAACTCCCAGAAATCCCAGCCAGTTTACCAGCCAGTTTACCTGAAAGTTGAAGGTCAAAACATCTGGGGACCCACAGGATAAGAACCACTGGTCTAGAGCTTGGAAAATATACTTTTTCAGACAATAATTTCTACACTGTCCCAACTAACATGTCTGGGAGCTGTGGTATCCATAATTATCCAATTTTTCCAGGCTCTGGTAAATACTTTTGCATACCCAAGCCTTCCTATTTGTGGAGACTGTTGTTTCCATTACAACTCATTCTCCTGGATCTATGCAGCAATTATCTGATCACTGTATTGTCGAAGGCTTTCATGGCTGGAATCACTGGGTTGTTGTAGGTTTTTCGGGCTATATGGCCATGTTCTAGAAGCATTCTCTCCTGACGTTTCGCCTGCATCTATGGCAGGCATCCTCAGAGGTTGTGAGGTCTGTTGGAAACTTGGAAAATTGGGTTCATATATCTGTGGAATGTCCAGAGACCTCACAACCTCTGAGGATGCCTGGTATAGATGCAGGTGAAACATCAGGAGAGAATGCTTCTATGGTCCTATAGCCTGAAAAACCTACAACAACCTATCTGATCACTGTTCCAGAGATGTACATGATACAGTTTTTGCAGAAGCATGCTTCTTTTTCTACAGGGCATCCAACTTTAGAAGCAGATCTCTAGTTGCCTTGCGTGGAAAATGTTCCATGTCACTGTTATGTAATATCATTTTGGAGACTTTCCATTGAGTTCACTGAACTCCAGTGGCAAGGTGGCATAGAGTGGTTCTCAACCTGTTTTGGCCTTCAACTCCCATAAATCCTAACAGCTGGTAAACTGGCTGGGATTTCTGGGATTTGTAGGCCAAAACACCTGGGGACCCACAGGTTGACAACCACTAGCATAGACGATGTTACATTTGCATCATTCCATATGGTGTTGACTGTCATTTCATTGTCTTTTGTCCTTCATTTGTGTATACACAAGAAGAGGTGGTGTGTGCCCTTTTTCTATTGAGTAGATGATTACTTTGCAACATGCACAGTATCCTTATTTTCTCATATCCATATAATTAAATATAATTTTCCTGCATCTTAAATATAATTTATTGCAGTGATGGACCTGTTTTTTAGGAATTGTTTTAATTTTTCAATCCTTGAGTTCCCATTCTTCTTACTTGAAGATGTAACTTTAGAAGAAGGATGGCTGTGTTTTACAAAGATTACTTCTATACTTGTTCTTCCCAATAGGAATGAAAGTATTTTTAAAGAAACGTTCTTCCCCTGCTCTCTATTGCTTGTCCTAATGTATTAGATGACAACATATTTTTCCACAATTTACAAAACTCAATTTGTAACAAAATAAAAATGATAAAAACAGCCAATGTTTTTGTAGTAAATGCAGAAATAGTAGCTAAATCAAACAGAAGGTAGTCAGAAACAAATCTAGAAAAACAAATAGAAATCCTGGCATAATTCTGATTTTTATGACGGAACAAGGAAATACAAATAAGGTTTCCCTGGTTTTGGCTGCCTCAAGCCATTTTCCTATTTGAGGACAAAAAAAGGATAATTTTCTTATTCCATGAACAGAAACTTTAATCATACTAGTGATAGAAGATGATGGTGATAATATTGTTACTTATAGCATACTTTTCACCAAATGGTGGAACGTCAACACAATAAAGGATAATAATAATAATGATGATGATGATGATGATGATTACTATTATTATTATTATTATTCTGGCAGCCCAAGAACAAGCCATTCGAACCAATGCCATCAAAGCCAGAATTGAAAAGTCAACAACAGATCCCAAATGTAGACTCTGCAAGGAAGCAGATGAAACAATAGATCACATCCTCAACTGCTGCAAGAAGATCGCGCAGACAGACTACAAGCAGAGGCATAAAACCGTTGCTCAGATGATTCATTGGAACTTGTGCAACAAATACTATCTGCCTACGACAAAGAACTGGTGGGATCACAAGCTGGAAAAAGTTACAGAAAATGAACACGCCAAACTCCTCTGGGACTTCCGGATTCAGACAGACAAGAGTTTTGGAGCACAATACTCCTGACCTCACAATCGTGTTAAAAAACAAAGTATGGATTGTCGATGTTGCAATCCCAGGTGACAGCAGGATTGCAGAGAAACAACTGGAAAAGCTGACACGATATGAGGATTTAAAATCGAACTGCAAAGACTCTGGCACAAGCCAGTAAAGGTGGTCCCAGTGGTGATCGGCACACTGGGTGCAGTGCCTAAAGACCTTGGCCTGCACTTAAACACAATCGGCGCTGACAAAATTACCATCTGCCAGCTGCAGAAAGGCCACCATACTAGGATCTGCATGCATTATTTGCCAATACACAACAGAGTCCTAGACACTTGGGAAGTGTCCGACGTGTGATCCAATTCAACAGTCAGCAGAGGGTCTGCTGTGGACTCATCTTGTTGTGTTTCAAATAACAATAATTTATTTCTAGACTGCCCTCTCTCTCCAGAGGGACTTAGGGTGGCTTACACACAAAAAGACAAACATTCAAGGCCTCAGAATGGGTGGAAACACATCAAAATAATACAGGATAATGGAGAGTAGCAACAATAAACTTACAATGAAAGAATTGCGCATCGAGATAAAAATAAAACAGGAACAATCCACTGAAAAATAAAAAACTGAAACATGAGTAAGCATTACAGCATATACCCTAAAAACAAATTTAAAAAAATTACATTAAAATGGCTGACATTGGGGCTTCATTT